TACATGGATCAGAAAACTACGTATCTCATAATTTAAAACTTCATGTAAGTACAGCTGGGAGAAAATGCAACAGCTATCAGTATCAGTTCCCCATTCATTTCAAACTATAAGGAAACTAAGCTGGCATTCTGGACACGCTCGATACCTTTAAAAATGTCCAATAAAAATGAAATCACTGGGGTTTCAGGAAAGCACTCTTAGATTTCACCAGAGATCCATCAAATCCAGCATCCTGTTTCATACAAAGAGCCAAACAAACAGGGCACAGGGGCCAAGCCCTTCTCCTTATGTTGCCTCCCAGCACTGGGATCCACAGGCTGACTGCCTCTGAATGTGGAGGCTCCCAAGTCAACGTGTCTAGTAGCCACTGATGGAGCCTCCCCTCCAGGAATCCTGGAAAGCCATTTACGCTTGTGACCATCCCCCATCTCCGCTAGGATTGCCAGTCTCCATCTGGGGATAAATACCGTGGCATCCCACCATTCAGGAACAGCAAAGGCATAGAGACAGTTTGTTAAAATTTGCAAAGAAAAGTTTAAACACAGCAGGGGGGAAAGCTTGTGGGTCAGGGGGGAGTGGGATTTGTCTCAGCTCCAATCTTTGTCTCCCAGCCTACAGCAACCAATTCCCTCTCAGGCAAGCAAATTTCACACACACCCCAAACCCACTTCATTAAAGAAGCATCAACCACCTGCAGTCAATCAACCTGCCCACCCCCATGCCTAACTCACCCATTTGTTAATGAAAGGGATCCAACGAAACAAACAAGCTCCCCTACCTATGGACTCCAGACAGGCTGTCTTGGGAAGTCGGGATCAGGCAAAACAAAAGAAAACAAAAAAATCTGCCCGTGTCTCGTGGCCCCTTTGACCTCCTCCTGTGTCAGGATTAGAGTTTCTCGCCTCGCCTTCTTGTCCTGGTCTCCCTGGCTTTTCATTGCTGGATGAAGCAAATCTTCACCGCTGCATGGCTTGGCTTTCCAAAACTTCCTGGGTTTGATGAAGGTGCATGCGTTGCTGTGGCTCGAGTGCAACCGGCAAAGCCTGCTGCTTACAAACTCTGAGGAAGTCTTGGGGAGCCGAGGAAGTTTTGGAGAAGCTCTGCAGAAGCACCAAGAAAGCCCCAGGAAAATGCTGAGAAATTCATTCCTTCTCTGGATGGGAAGGGCTGAGGAAGTTTGCCCCTCTTCCCCTACCCTTAGACACCCACCCTGCCAGGTACAAGGAGAGAGAAGGAGCGGGGAAACACAATGGGAAAAAGGAAGGGAGATAGGACGACATATCTATAAGAATGGGGCAAAGTAGACCATAGGGAATAGGGGACGTAGGGAAGAGCAAGAAATAAGTTCATAGGCCACTTCACAGATTACTCCCCCCACTTAAGTGAGCATCAGGGGTCATTTCCTGCAGGAGCGCACAGGAACGCAGCTCCGGCAGTAAAGAGCCCAGGGGGCGGGCACATGCAACAAGCCCCACCTCCTGCTCCCAGCAGCCCTCAGTCAGAGCAAGAAGCAGCCAGGTACGTTGCAGATCTCCCCCCAGCCCTCCGGTCCAAAACAGTCCAGTGGCACCTTTAAGACCAAATTTTATTCAGGTTCAAGCTCTCCCTCCTCTGCGAGGACAGATCTGCACGCCCCCCCCCCAATAGCAATCCAAAACAGTCCAGTGGAGCCTGAGCGGTGGGTGTTGCCTTCTGACACACTTCTGGTGATGTCAGGGGGTGTGGCATATGAGCTCCTGCACCTCTTTTTCTACGAAATGACCCCTGGTGAGCATACATTTGAAAATGCAGCCCTGGGTTGGACAGGAACATTGCACGGGGAGGGAGGGAAAGGAGGGTGGGAAAGGGGGAAAGAAAGTCTGCCTG